GAAATTACACATCCGCTGTTTATATGTTTATATCACTGTTTTGTAGTAAGGTCGTGTATCTTAATACTGGAAGTGTTTCTTACTCAAATCTCCAGAAGTTAAGTGCGAAAATAATGGAGAAAAAATTAGTCAATTTTTGTCGGTGCATTAGCGTGGCAGATGATGGAGACATAAGGTTATTTCTTTCATTATTTTATTCTATTCCATTTTAAATTAATGTTAGGTGTAGCTTGTAGTTACTAAACTTCTCGATTATTATTAACCATCAGTTATGTCGTTGACTAATCATTTTAATAGAATCTCCAAGTAAGCACGTAAATGGTAACTACTTGTAATTATTAATTGTAAATGACTCTTGATCGCCTTGGAAGATTTACAATATCATTTCTTCTCATCGAGGTCAGATGAATTTTAAAATAGTTTAATAATGTAACGTTGGTCGCATTTACTATTTGTACATAATTGTTGTATAAAAGACTTTCAAATGGATCTGCCTGTAGTAATGTAATATGGGTAATTAACAAATTTCTAATTGTCGCTGTTGTTTTTGTTGCCGAGGTAAATGTGAATGTGGTACAGCGCTTTCTAATTAAGTGAGTCATAATACTCCCGTTAAGGAATGACAAAAACTGCTGATCGTTGAAAAGGCTTTCTGTTGAATGTGGAATTTAAAATATCCACTTGATGAGCAATGATTGTGTGAGAAAGTGACTTTGTCATTTGTTTATTTTTGTTGTATAATAATAACTGCCATTGAAATTGAAATATTTGAATATCCTTAATTTAAATACTTTGAAATTTAAATATTCGGATATTCCAATATCCAAATATTAATAATGATAACAATACTAAAATTATTTGCATGCCTTACAGGTTTTTGCAAATTGCTTCTTTTACATTTATTTTACATCCGATAATAAATTTTCGATATCAACTAAGTCTATTCGTTAAAATGTTGGTCATTACTTTAGAATCCGTATCTAATAGCGACACTCCTCTGGAATTCTCAGGTTTATCCTTACATCCATTTTTATAAACAAGTACTATCACCGTTTTGCTCCATTTCCTTTATATTTTATTTAATAACCCATTCAACATTTTGCTATCCACGTCATTCACAGCTTTAACACATTCTACATATAGGAATTCCATCCTCTCCTACTGCTTGTCCATTTGACATTCTTCTCAATGCCTTGCTTACCCCTAAAATACTCTTTCCGTTTTTGTTTTGCGATCTCTTCTATTAGTAAAACACACTCATTCATATCATCCTCTTACCATTCTCATTTATTGTATTATCTTACGATTTTCTATCTGTATCATCCCTTCTTCGTTCATTCCATTGAACTCTGCGCCTCTTTCACTCTTGCATTCATGACCCCACATTGAAATATCATTTTAAATTGATTTCATATCATTTTCTTTCTCAATTTTTTCGGTCCTTTCTTCCAATTTTATGTACCTACTCTTTTATAATAGAAGTTCGACTCCCTTGTCTGCTTTCTATCTGTAACCTATTATCATCAACACCTCTAACACCTTCTTCTTTGTCTTTCGTTGCTGGATCATCTATTTTGTGTACGTCCTTCGTATCTGGTTCTAAGCTTATACGTCATCTTTGGTCTTTCTATTGGGCGATGCACTTATAATATGTGATTATTGAAATTCCAAGTTTTCGAATAGAAAGGAATACAATATTTTTAAAGAACTATTTTTTTCCAATCATTTTAAATCAAGATTTTAGATATTCATCTGGTAGGTAATATTAATTAATCCGAAATTACACAGAACAAACAGAATAGCTCAAAACCCCAACGCCAAAACACGACACTGTAGTTGTCCGAAGCACTTTTCGGTAACAAAGTTACCTTCTTCAGGGACTGAAGTAAACTAAACCTAAATGAGAACTAATCCTAAATTTATACTGATAGTTGTTAAGGTTCAGTGAACATGACCCGAAGCCAACAAGGTAGATNAAAAATATGTGAAATAATTTTAATGGGTTGAAAATATACAAAATAATTTTAAAACATATTTTTTTCTGGACTGTACTTGTAAATTTGTTTTCTTGGAACGGTTAATCAATACCCTTCGATAGCTCAGTTGGTAGAGCGGTGGACTGTAGAGGTTGTATAATGCTGTTATCCATAGGTCGCTGGTTCAAATCCGGCTCGAAGGAGTGTCTTTTTTTGGATAACGAGCACTGTTAAAGTATGAAAATTGTGTTAGCAATGATAATTATTTATTACTAAACACGTTATAAATTTTAAAATCTGTTTATTATTTAATTAAAGGGATATACCGTTCACACTATGGTTAAAAGTGTGCAAAGTCACGAAGTCCTCGGTAGTATAGTGGTTAGTATCCCCGCCTGTCACGCGGGAGACCCGGGTTCGATTCCCGGCCGGGGAGGGTTATTTTATTCTATCACTTTTTATTTTATACGTTCTTATTAGATAGCCTATGATTTTTAAGAAGTTATGCTAATTAACCAGTTTGGGTTACCTTATGCAGTTGTGGAAGTCGCTAAGGACGTAAGCCCTGTAGCCATGATCGATATTCTATCTGAAGATGTGGTAGGGTAGGCATAGAGCAAAATTAAGTGTTTTATGAAACGTAGGGATTTTATGAAATAGGACTTAAAACCACACAACTTTCTGTTAGATCTTCAACTATCTATTTATACCATACTCAAAAATTACCGGACCGATTTCATTCTTATTTCTCAACGATAAGACGAAACAACTCATTACTAAATGTTTAACACAAAATTAGTGGTGTAAATAGCACCGACGAAACCCCGCCGGGGATGAGGCTACGCATGACTGTCGGGGGCCCATAATGTTTTATTAATGTTGTTTACTTTTTGCAATCATTCCACTATATTTGTATAGGGCGTCTTTCGAGGGGTGGCGGAACACAAACGGAATGCTTATTTGATAGGGTATTAAATTTAAAGTCCAAGTATGAACTAATTAGAAAATTGTTAATAGTTATCATAGAAAGCGATAAATGTTATCGTATAATTATAATAATTAGAAAAAACTATAAAATTGATTTCAAAAATAAACATTCAGGAAGACCATGGTCGAAATCCAATTTTAATACCTAATAAGGGGACTTATTATTATAATATATTACTTGTTTCAACATGTTTTTAATTTTGGATTTGTCTTATTATATTTACGTTTTGTATTGGATAATTATTTTGTTTTTTTTATTTCAAACAGATTTCTTTCATTTCTTTTCTTGTTATGTTTTTCAATTTTGAATGATCTCCGTACACGTTTTTGGAGTGGATTAAAAAAAAATGCACTGCCCGGGAATCGAACCCGGGTCGCAAGAATGGGAATCTTGCATGATACCACTACACCAGCAGTGCTTCATCATAAAGTGAACCTAATTACCTATATAAGATGGTGAACACTGAACATTAACTTCAACTTTACAAATTACTGATTATATACTTATGAAGTATGTTTATGGCATTTACGATTACCATATATTCAATAACTTTTGGTGTCCATAAAACTGTACTATGTACTTCTAATTTTAGTTTTTAGACATGTGTCTTTAATTTGTCAAATTAGCCGGTTTTCATTAAAATGTTTACGTTCTTTAATCAAAAATTGTTCCGTAAATTTACAACTGAGGCCATTGCGAATTCAGTTAATACTGATGGATCATATCAAACAGAGGAACAAGCGCAAAATATAAAAGATGAAACTGAAAAAGCTGTAAATAATATTAAAAGTATCCTGGATGAATCTTTAAAGGAAAATTCTCTTTCTCAAGATACAAATATGTTAATTGTTAGAGAAAAAATTGAAACAATCCTTGAAGATCTAAAAAAGAAGACTGCCGAATTTATTTCATCTGCACAAATAAATATAGCAAATGCATTTGAAGAAGTTAACAAAGAGAAAAATATCGTGACAAGTTCATTGCCATCAACAAATACGGAAAAAACTGATAATCTGGAAAAAAAAAAATCAGAATTACAAACTGATACAAAATATGATATGACGATTGACTTATGGATGTAACAGAAGATTTAGTACCTAACAACTGAAACGCCTAAAAAATTTAAAAACAGTAATTTTGAAGTTGTAGGTACATACGAATAATAAAATTTAAAATTTTATGAGAGGAGTGGGGATCTATTTGTTATTATTGTATTTAAACCAATCAGCAACAATTCCTTGTAGGTGTAAACCTACATGCATTCACTATTTTATTTATAGTTATATAAAAAAAGTGCCTACGAGTCATGCTAATAAACAAATTTGATTTTTAAAAAATTCCGGTACCGGGAATCGAACCCGAGCCTCCTGGGTGAGAGCCAGGTATCCTAGCCACTAGACCATACCGGATCTTCCCCAGAATAAAAGCCATTCAGAGAATTTACTTTAGCGACACCGGTTGAGTGTGATTGCCGGTTGCAATCGGCGCTTTTTGGTAGAAAGTGGGGCTTAACATGATCAACTGAAAAACTGATTTTGTTGATACTTTTCAAACTCTTATTACCCTCTTCCTCTTTTGCAAGTGCTTTTTTGTCTTTGTCCTGTTTTTCTAACATATTACCAAAATTTAAAGTCTGATTACGAACATCAAATGACTTGAATGAGTTTTCGTAAATTTTTGAACTTTTTTCTGAACTGTCACTGTAGTCGTTTTGACACTCTGAGACTACTTTTGTCAATTGGCAGTTGTTTGAAATGTAAGTGGTTGGCAACTCACATAAATTTGATCTGATACGGCAGCTATCAAAGCGAAAGTCTTTATTTTCATACTCTAAATCCATGTTCTCATACTCTCGATTCTTTTCGTATTTTCTAGGGGAAAAATTTTTCATTTCCTTACCCTTTCTACGGCAAGGCTCTAATGATTCACTTCTACACCTTCGACGAGGCGATTCTTTATCACAGGTTGGACACCAAGACCATGAGGTATACGAGAATCGACACTTGCTACTATATGATAATGAAAGATCACAACTAGCCATTTTTCTATTATTTACAAAGTTTTGATCGGACATCTGTACAAAAAAACCAATGTATTATTTTATTAGTTTAAAGTGAGTGTAAAAATTATATAGTAATAAATAACAAATTTAAATAGAAATATATCAGGTATCTATTAGTAAAAAGATATTAAAAGTAAAAAAAAAGTAGATACGCATTAATTTTATAAATACGTAATAACAAATATTCGGATAATAAGAAAATTAACCTCAAACACACTAACCAATTTTTAAGACATTTTTAATTACAATTTAACATACATTGTACCCATTGTAATCAAAATGTATTAATAATGAAGAAAAATCACATTTAAGATTAACTATCAGATGCAGCATGGGGTTTTAGTTAATTTTCATTAGAATTGTTCAAAATGGTGTGCAGTTAGAAAACAATGATACCAGGTACAAAGAAAAACTACTCACAATTACAAGATATTCTACAGGAAGGACACAAACAAACTGACCGAATCTGTTGTTTGAATGATTAACGAGTTAGTTCTTTACTATAAATACCAGTATTTAACACAAATTCGGAAAAAATATGAAAAACGGATCTGGATGAAGACCATCCAGACCGCGTGTTAAAAAGAAAGCGTTGATACAATCACCGACTAACAACGTGTTTTGTTTGTATCACTGACGTTTGGGATAATTGAATGACGTATCTCGTTATGCTATTCAAATTGAATATAAAATGGATGTTTTAAATTTCAATATAAAAATTTTCCCGCCACATACATTAATAGATTATATTTTTTTTCAAAATCTTTTTATTGTGGATTTAAAATACAGATATTTTTTGAACTATCACTATGTAATATTATTTACAGTTTGTTAAACAGCCATTTTAAAAACATGAATTTTTATTATAATTGAGAAATATATTTTTTCAACCGTAAATTATAATTTTTGTTTTTGAATTTATTTAATATACAGAATAGCCA